GGCAGGCTCTGTCCGCACACAGCTCCATGGCCAGACCAGAACAAGGGTTCTGGGGCAGAGCGCTGTGCGGCTGTCTGGTGTCCCTACCTTAAACGGAGTGGCCAGCCCCCAAAGAGTTCGGTCCTACGGTTTGTCAGAACAGCTGTGGCCCAGATGGGCAGCTGCTTCCCTGCCCTGTGCCTGCCCAGGGGCGCCCTTCCTCCCTGTGGGTGCAGTGGTCTGACCCAGAGCCCACTGTCACCAGGGCGGCTCTACCTGGCTCAGGTGAACTGGTCACGGAGGTAAAGGTTTGGCCACCATGCTGTCAAGGAGAAGCTCACAGCACACACATACCGCTCAGGACCCAGTGAAAGCTGTTTGTGAAGGACGGGGGAAGGGGGGCGGCAGAGATGAGCCCTGGGCCCAGCACAGCTGCCCCCTGAGGTCAGTGGGTGGAGAGGGCTCCACGGGCCCCAGGCAAGGCCCCGGCAGGACGGCTCTCCCTGAGCTGCCCTTGGGGGCAGAGCCAGTAAAACCAGTCGTGTGGAGCTGGAGCAGCTCCGGTCAGCTCTGCCCGGGGCCACTTCGACCCTCTCCACCAGCTCACCCCCAGGCCCGTAAGCCCCTGCGGGTGGGAAGCCAGGGCCGTGTGCAGGCCCACTCAGAGCAGTGAGGGTCTGGGCTGGTGCAGAGAGGCCCCCAGGGCCTCGGGCAGGAGAAGGGGGTCTGCCTAAAGCCACAGAGTGGCCTCCTCTAGAGAGGAAGAGGGGGCTGCTCAGACTTCCCCATCCCACAGCTGCCACCCAGGGGACAGAGAAGGAATGTAATGGGGGTCCCTGCCAAGGAAGGGCGGCAGCCTAGGCGCTGGCCACTTTGGGAGGTGAGGAGACGCGGCAACTATGCCACCCACTGCCAAGCTGCCAAGTGGTGGCAGCCGCCCCTGCCCCATGTGGGAGGCACCCAGCTGAGGGGCAGGGAACAGCTTAGCCTTGACCCACGTGTCTGCTGAGCGTAGACTCGGGCCACTGGACACTGGCCGGGAGGAGCCCCTGCCGCTGGGAGGCCCACCCCACCTACCCGCACTGCGCGATGTCCTATTAAGGACATACCCGCGGGGGCTGTGGCCGCGGGCGCCCGCTAGCCTCTTCCCTAGGCGCCGAGGCCGCGCGGACAAGCGAGGCGGGTGGGGACTGGGCTGCGTCTGGGCCGCGATGGGGACAGCCACTGCGGACAAGGTGTCACAGACCAGGCTGTCAGGCTGGAGGACGTGCCAGGGCCGGTGGCGCCGTACCTTTGTACCTCTCCCGCACCTCCTCGTAGGCCTGGATGAAGTCCTGCTCGTCGGGTGGTGGGCCGGGCGGCAGCAGGGCGGCCATGCCGGCGGGCGCGGGACGCGGCGGGGCGCTGCGGCGGGGAGGGAGCCTCCAGCTCCGGGCAGCCACTCTGTCCCTGCGGCCGCCAGCGCCACTTAAAGGAGCCGGCCCCGCCCCGCACCCAGGATGCCCCACGGGAGGGGCGGGGCGGGCCCAGGGCCCGCCGGCCTCAGGGAGCCGCGGCCACACGTCCCGGCGCGTCCGAGCGGGCTCAGCGGGAGCGGCCACGCGGTCCCGCGTCTGTGTTCCATCGCGCGCGGCAGCGAACACACGCCACGTCCCTCCCCTGACTGGGTCGCGGGACCGCCGACAGCCGGAATTCCTCTCTTCTGGCTTCCAGCTCCGCAGCAGCCCCCTCCCTCGTCAGCCCCAGCCCCGACCTCTCCGTAGACCTCGTCGGATCCAGCGACTTCACCTGGCCGCCCCCGGGTGCGCCCCTCCCTCCTCCCTCCTTCCTAGAACGCTTCGCTTGCAGCCTGGGAGCTGGAGTTAGTATTATCTACACAAAAAGGACTCTTAAAACAGAAAGGAAAAAATTCATGCACTATTTCAGAAGAAATAAAATGCCTGGTACAAATAAAAGCCATTTTTTAAGGGGACTAAATGGTAATGGAAAAATATAATAAAGATTATATAACAAAACAAAACAAAAGCCATTCTTTTGCCCCCGGCAAACTGGAAAGACCGTTCTCTCGGCACTGGCAAACGTTCTCCCGCCTAGAACGCCCCTGGCTTATGCCTCTCTGACCTCACGTGCCAGGAGCCCCTCTTCTGGGGGTCGGCACTGGGAAAGTCCGCAGACTAGCACAAAGGCCCTGCCCTGGGCCTGCGCAGCCCAGCTCAGAGCCCGCTGCGGGGCCGGGTGACAACGAGGAAGGCCAGGGCTCCGAAGGACGTTCCGGGTCGCTTCCATGTGGGGAAAAGGGCCACTTCTAAAACCCACAGGTGACTCGGGAGAAAGAGGGTCCGGCCTCAGGGGTGGGGGGTGGCCAGCCTCACCCTCTCCGGCGGTCCCGCTCCTCTGTTTCCCCCACCAAGCCCCTCACCGCCCACAGCACGTCCTCACTCGGCAGCCGGCCAGCTGGCCTCTTCCCTCGTGCCTCAGGCGACTCTCCCCCACCCCCCACCCCCTGCCAGGCCTCTGCAAGGGCCAGTCCACCCTCCGGGCGCCTCACCATCATCCAGCGTTAGTGGTGGTAGGGTCAGCACTCAGCCTGGGCGCAAACGCCCTCAACAGGATCCTCCCTTGCCCAGCACATCCTGGGGTGGGGTCCAGTCCTAGGTCCCCCACTTCCCAAAGGTCCAGGCCGCTGTCCACCTGCCAGCCCTGCACTGCTGGAGGCCTCTCCCTGGCTTTTCCCTGGAGAGCGAGGCTCTGGTGCAGGGGCCTGGGCTCTCACCAACCAGGTGGACCCTCTTGACCTGCTCCTAGGTGCTTCCACCGAGCCCACGATGGCAGCCCAGACCAGGGGGCCTGGGGGGCAGCTCTGCCCCAGGGGCCCAAGACAGTACCACCATGGCATTTGGGCACTGCGCCCTACCGGAGGCCGGCGACGGTGCCACCACAGCAAGCGCTACCGCAGGCCTCATGCAGCAGGCAGAGCGGGCCCAGCAGGTGGCGCTGTGTGGCCTGCCATCACCCAGGACCCGCGAGGCCCTCTCTGACCCGCAGTGTCTCACCTCTTCTCCCTGTCCTACACCTGCGCGGAGCACGCAGCAGCAGCTGGGTCAGCCAGCTCCTGCTTGCAAGCTGAAAGACAATGCCCTTCTGCATTACCTGCAATTCGGATGACTGCACGCTCAGCAGGGTCCAAGACTCCGCCATTGCCCCCAGAGCCACTTCCACTCCTCCGGCTCCGCTGCGTCTTCCCCAGGTTCCAGGGCAGTGTGTCCCCAGGGCTGGGTGAGCTGCTGCTTCCGTTGGAGCCATCCTCGGCCACCACCCGCACCTCATGGTCCTCACCCGACATGGCTTCCTGGAGAGGGGGCAGGAGGGGGTCACACCTCTAGGGAGATGCACACTGACCCGTCACCTTCTTAACCTAGACACTGGCCCCACCCACCCACCCTATCAGCTGGACACTGATGCCCACCTGCCTCCTAAGTTCCACCTGCACATACTGACCGCACCCCTCTGCACCCAGACGTGGAAGACCCTCTCCCACCACCCAAGCTGGCCTCACCCTCTCCAGATCATCCCCAGACACCACACAGTGACCCCCCCCCGGCACTGACCCCACTCACCCCAGTCTATCACTGGGACATTGACTACCCCATTGTTGCCCCTCCCTTCTCTTAGTCACCCAAACACTGGGCCCTCTGTGCTGTCACCCATGGGCTCACTCCTCCGCCCCATCACTCAGACACTGGCCTCCACCCCCAGCACCCCAAACCTGGACCTGGCTCCTCTAATCCTCTGATCATCCCTGACTGGCGCCCCTCCCCTCCAGGACCCTAACCCCGTCCCCTGGACAATGGCGCTGTACCTCCAACCTATCTCACCCTCTAGGACTCCCGAGGCCCAGCCCCAGCCCCGCGCAGTCCCACCGTGGTCTCTGCAGTGTACGCCTATAAATAGCTGGAGCCGCAGTGCCGTGGGCCGCACCAGCTCGCTGCGGCAAGGCTGGGAGCCCGGGCCGCCGCTCCAGCAGCCCACTCTGAGCGCATACACACCCGCACCTCCGGAGCTGCCAGAGCGCACGCACACCCACTCGTGCACACTCCTCAGCTACCCATCCCCAAGAGTGCTGGCGTGCGGGAGGTGAATGGAGCTCTGTCCCGGCGGGGGTGGGGTGGTGTGGGGGCACAATGTGGGCTCTGTGCCTCGGCCCTCAAGCTAAGGGCTGGGAAAGGAGACAGGGGGCACCGACCTGGGGGCCACTCCGCCCCGCCTTCCACAGCCTCCTCCACCGGCCGCCTGTGCTTCAGCCCCCCGCCCGGAGCCCTGCGGCCAGCCGAGCCTCCCCAACACGCCTTCCTGCCCACACCCCGGGCACCGCCCGACCAGTTCCGCAGTCTCCGGCCCTCAGAGGTGGTGTCCTCCAGAGGGAGAATGGACCGAGACGCAGCCCCTAGTTACGGAACGCCTGCGCACGGATAGCCCCCGGCTAACCCCGAAGCTTCCGCACACTGCGCGCCTCTCCATCCCGGCCCCGGTTATACGTGCCTGGTGGCTCAGCTCGGCTAGGCTCGGCCGCCGCAGCTAGACTGCTTGCAGCCGGAGATCCGCGGAGGCGACGCAGGCGGGGCGAGCCCGGAGCCCCGCCCCGGCTCCAAACCCAGCGCCGCCCGTACTGTCCGCGCTCCCGAGTGCGTGCGGGCCAGGGGCTCACGGAGGCGAGGCGGTGGGGCTGGAGCATTAGCGTGGCTCCACCTCAGCGCTCCTACCGCGCACCCGCCTATCGCCAGCCACGCCCCGCCACTTCCCCGCGCATTCGGGGCGGGTCGGTCGGCAGGGAGACGTTGTTGGGAGCGCGTGCTTGACACTAAGGCTACGTGGGGTCGCTCGGGTGCGCGCTGGGTCGGGCCCCTGCGGACGGCCCAGGACCTCCCCAAGGGAGCATTGGGGTCTGGCCCTCGGCCCCTGCCACTAGCCAGGCGGCCAAGGTCCCTCCCGCCTTGCAACACAGGTCGGACTCGGAGCCCCAGCAGGTTCCTCCACCCCATTTCACGTTTATTCAAATTTCAGCCTCGCGTTCGGGCAAAGTCCGGCCTCCTCCTGGGCTCTGCTGACCCCTGGTGGTTGGGTCGGCCCCTGAGGGGACCCGGCCCCTGCCCTTCTCGTTGCACCGCGGATCCCTGAACAGCAACAGGAGGAAGGGGCGCATCAGGAGGCGGGAGCTCAGGCAGCGCAGGGATCTGTGAGGCTGTGTGGGGATGGAGCCGGAGCCTGGGGAGCAGGCGGCCAGAGACGGGGTCGAGAGGGGCCTATCGGGTTAGATGGCCGGGGAGTCGGCCAAAGGCCCAGAGGGGTTCCCAGGGGAGGCCCGGGGTATGTGCTCGCACGTGATGAGGTGGGTGGGCAGCGCCTGCGTGTCATGGAAGATGACGAAGATGCTGGGCTGGCGGAGGCAGTCCACAGCGCTGTCGTAACGCAGGAGCACGTGGCCCGGGGCCCGCCTAGGGGGCACCCGCAGCTCCCGGCTTCCCAGTCCGTAGTCGCCGGTCAGCACCCGCGCCACAAACACTGCCTTGTGGCCGTCGGCATTGGGGGGCGAGTAGCGGTTTTGCACCGACAGGGAGGCGCGCTTGGCGAAGTACACGCCCTTCCCGTACAGCGTGCCTGTGGGCGGGACGGGCCGGGGTCAGGGTCACCCAGGGCGGCAGAGCCCACACCCCTGCCCTACCCGTTGCGGGCCTCACCGTTGCGGCCGCAGAAGCTGCGATTGAAGCCGTAGGCACAGATGTCTGGGACGGCGGACGCGGACGTGCCATGGTACAGGACGTGCTCGACCGGGTGCTGCTCACAGCGCTGCTCCAGGCGTTCTCGGTGCAGCTCGTACTGCTGCTGCAGCAGCGGGTGCAGCACGCGTTCCACCTGCCAGGCGAGCACAGGGCTGTTTGCGCGTGCACCCCACACCCAGGTCTCTGCGCCGACGGGACAGAGCTGAGCCAGGAAATCAAGAGCCCTGTGTTGGAGGTCAGGGCCTGGGGAGCCGGCACCGCTCCAGTCCTGCTCTGTCTAGCAGCAGACGTCAGGCGGACATTAGCGACCTAGATGGGGCTCCTAGTGGCACTGGAGGGCTTCCAGAGAGGCAGCAGGGGAGCAAACGCAACCACTCACAGGATCTTGGCATCCACAGCCAGACCTCGGAAGAGAAAAGGTGAGCCCACTCTGCCCTCAGGGCTTCACTCCCAACACCAAGAGGCACACCCACCGGGGCCCTCTGTGCTGGGAAGACCAGGTGACCAGCCAGTCAGCCGTGGACCAGCTTCTGGGACTCACTCAGTCTCTACAGAAATTCTGACTAGTCTCCACGGAGGGATGCAGAGGAACGTTATGTCCATTGAACAAGACTAGCTAATGTGAAAAAGAAATACTCTGAAAATTAGCAAGTTCCTACCTTAAGAATGGAATTAATGAACAATTAGTTTTAAAATACATTAAAAATTTGTTTTAGCCCTGGTTGGTGTGGGTCGATGGATTAAGCGCCGTCCTGTGAACCAAAGGGTCGCCAGTTCAATTCCAAGTCAGGGCACATGCCTGGGTTGCAGGCCAGCTCCCCAACTGGGGCTCTCGAGAGGCAATGACACATTGATGTTTTTCCTCCTCGCTTTCTCCCTACCTTTCCCCATCTCTAAAAATAAATATATAAAATATTTTTTAAAATAATAAACATTTAGCCCTGGCTGGTGTAGCTCAGTGGACTGCGAGCGGGCCTGCGAACCAGACAATCGCGGTTCGATTCCCAGTCAGGGCACATGCCTGGGTTGCAAACCAGTTCCCTGCAGGCCAGTTCCCAGCAGGGGACGCATGAAAGGCAACCATACATCGATGTTTCTCTCCCTCTCTCCTTCCCTTCCCCTCTAAAGATAAATAAATAAAATATTTTAAAAAATAATAAACATTTAAAAAAATTTAAAGAACTCATACAAGTCCACACCTGGAAGACAAACAATCCAATTAAAAAATGGGCAAAGGACCTGAACAGACACTTCTCCGAGGAGGACATACGGAGGCCCCATGGACATATGAAACGATAGCATCACTAGCCATCAGAGAGAGGTAAATTCAAACCACAGTGAGCCCTGCTGGTGTGTAGCTCAGTGAACTGAGTGCAGACCTGTGTATCAAAGGGCTGCTGGTTCGATTCCTAGTCAGGGCACATGCCTGGGTTGCAGGCTAGATCCCCAGTAGGGGGCACACAAGAGATAATCACACACTGATGTTTCTCTCCCTCTTTCTCTCTCCCTTCCCCTCTTTAAAAATAAATAAATACATATTTTTAAATAAGCCACAGTGAGATACCACTTCACACTGGTCAGAATGGCCATCATGAACAAATAACAAGTGCTGGCAAGGTTGTGGAGAAAAGGGATTCCTAGTGCACTGTTGGTGGGAATGCAGACTGGTGCAGCCACTGTGGAAAGCAGTATGGAATTTCCTCAAAAAACTAAAAATGGAACTGTCTTTTTTTTAAAGACTTCATTTATTCATCTTTAGAGGGGAAGGGAAGGAGAGAGGGAGCGAAACATCAATGCATGGTTGTCTCTCGTGAGCCCCCCACCACCGGGAGCTGGCCTGCAACCCAGGCATGTGCCCCGACTGGGAATTGAACCTCGATCTTTTGGTTCACAGGCCTGCACTCAATCCACTAAGCTACCCCAGCCAGGGCTGGAGCTGTCTTTTGACCCAGGAATTTTACTGCTGCAATTCCACCCTAAGAGCCCTGAAACACCAATTCAGAAGAACCTGTGCACCCCAATGTTCACAGCAGCATTATTTACAGTAGCCAAGTGCTAGAAGCAACCTAAGTGCCCATCAGTAAATGAGTGGATCAAAAAACCATGGTACATTTACACAATGGAATACTACACAGCAGAGAGAAAGAGGAGCTCCTACCCTTCTCAACAGCGTGCATGGAACTGGAGAGCATTATGCTAAGTGATATAAGGCACGAGGTGAAAAACAACTACCATTTGATCTCACCTGTAAGGGGAATCTAATCAAGGAAACAAGTGAGCAAAGCAGAACCAGAGACGTGGAAATAAAGAATAAATTAACAATGGCCAGTGGGGAAGGGGAACGGGGGGAACGGGGGAGAGAAGGGGGAGGGTCCAGTCAAGGAACATGTATAAAGGACCCGTGGACAAGGACAATGGGGGGTGGGCAGGGCAGGGGAGAGTAATAGGGGAAAATGGGAACAAGTATAATTGAACAATGACAATTTTTAAAACAATTTTTAAAGAGTGAGATTGCTGAATCAAATCTAGTGGGTAGGCTGAATAATAGGATCATGGAGCTGGAGTTCTGGAGGGACCCAGAGCTGAAGAAAAGAGATGGAGACTGTGGGGGGACAGGTGAGAGAGGAACTGTGTGACAGAAACTCCACTGGAACAGGGCAGAAGGTGACAAGAGCAAGGGAGGTACTAACGGAAAACAGTTTCCCTGAGCCAAAGGTGGCATCTTCGGGTGGAAGGGGTCCATGAGATGACAAGGACAGGACAGGGGAGAATGACACATCCCTGGCGCCTACCTGCCAGAAAACATCAACCTTCAAAGCGAAAGACTGTTAATGTCCACGTACACCAACGTCAGCACAGAAGTGGAAGAAAGAAGGGGGGGTCTCACATTCTTACACTGAGCTACTTGCCGCCAATATGGGTGCTAAGAGACCATTGAGATTTTTCTTAACTTTCCAAGAGCAAAAAATTTTAAAAAAAGTAATATCACTCAAATACCTGGAGGAAGACATATTTTGATCCTGAATGTTATATCCAGCCAGACTGTTAATGGTGAGGACAAAATCAGGACACATTAGGATAAGCAAGAACCAGCTGTGCTCGGTTACGTTTATAGAAACGTCTTAAGTAAACACACGTAACTTTTGTTTGAAAAATGGCTGACACTATTATCAAATTATAGCTGCAAACTAACCCTAATTGTAGAAGGTAAACTAAATTTAAAAGTCCAATATGGTTACTACCCACTGAAGGAGATACTTCTACTGAACAGAAAAAAGACCTATGCAAGGGGTGACCTGAGGGCATAAAGCGTGACCCAGCAGCCAAGCCCAACACAGAAAAAAAAGGAGGATGTGAGAAAAATGAAGAGCCGTTAGTCCCTGAATCCTAGAATGTCCTCTTTCAAGTAACCCAGTTTTAATCGCCGGGATTCCATTTCCCCATGTTCCCTATGGTTCGATGGTAAATATTTTCTGTTATTATCTATCCATCGACCTACCGTGCAATGACAGAGCTCTGTGGTGGTCACAGAATAAGAGACAAAGTCCATGTGCCCACCCTGACAACAGAACAAGGAGGATGTACCCGGCCACGGGTGAGAGGGAAGATGGAAGAGAAAAGAGAGTGGAAGGCAGGCCATCCCTTCCTTCCACCCAGGAAGGGGAGCAACAGTTTCCAAAGCTCAGTGGGGGGCAAACACTCAGGTGTACCCTCCAGAGCCACACAGGTGCTGCCTGGAAGACTCAAAGTGCACATCACTGACAAAACGGGCCAGGAGTCAGGGATGCGATTGCCATCGTGGTCCTCCTCTGCCAAAGTGCAGAAAGGACAGCTGCTAGGTCCAGGAATGGAGGAAAAATACTTGGTCCAAAGTTTATTAGTCATCTCCAGGAAAGCAGTGTGGCGGGTGGTGCAGGGTGGTGGCGGTGAACAGGGCCAGGTCTGGGGAAGGCCAGAGGTTCTGCCTTTCTGACCAGCTCCAGGTGGCCCAGGCTGTGGGGCCCACCCACAACTTTTTGCATCCAGAGCCAAGCATCCACCTGGCACAGTGAACCAGCTCTCATCGTCCCTCCCTCCTGGGCCTCCGAGAGCCTTCCCCGTAAGAACGCAGCCCTGCTCCCTGCTCCTGGCACCCTTGGCCCCTTCCTTCCTTTCACAACCAGCTCATTTCAGACTGGTTCCTGCCGCACCTTCCAGTCACTCCTCATCCTCCAGCCCAGCTTCAGCTCCAGACAGCTGAGCAGGCAGCAGGGCCTCCTCCCCAGCCCTTTCTTCTGGCCACGCAGATGTCCTGGACCTCCCTGCCCTCCAACCCCTCTCTCCGCCTCCAGGGTCCCTTCTCGGCCTCTCCTCCCTGCACTCCTGGGGTCTCACTCTGGCTCCCACCAGCTGGTCCCAGCCTTTCGTGAGGCACGCTCATGCTCAGAGTCGCCACACTGAGCAAGTAAAACCTCAGGAAGCAGCTGTGGCGCTGCAGCCAGCCCTCCTGCTGGAGTGGACCGTGGGAGGCAGAGGAGCCCCCAGACAGCACAGGCATGCAGCCCTCACAACAGGAAGCTCACCACCCCGCGCTCCAGAAGAGGAAACCCATGGAGGTGGTCACACCCTCACGCAAATGGCAAAGCAGAAACTTGCTCAAGCCTTTCAAATCCCAGGACCCCCAACCTCTAAGCCCTTGTCTCCCCAACCCAGACTTTGTGAACACTCTCTGGGCAGGGACCAGGGGGGTATTCCCTGCCCTCCACCCCCACCCCCTGCCCCCAGCTTCCAGCCTGCCTCACACCAGGCAGCTCTGGGCCAACTGACCCTGACAGGCAAGACTGACAGCGCACAGGCTCTGCAAGATGGAAACAGTGTCCTGAGCCCAGGAGGCCGTGAGGCTGAGGAGACCGAGCCTAGACTCACCCGGATGATACGGATGCTCCTGTGGAAAGTGTCCAGGGTGTCATAGAAGGCCCGCACTACTGCCTGGAACTCCCGGCTGCTCTCCGCCAGACACTCCAGCCTGCCCAAGGGCCCCTTCGGCCTCCGGTGTGGCACTGACACGGGGGAAGAAGAGGCTCTAGGCCCTGCCTGGGGCTGGGGGCGTCCCTGAGAGCCACCCCCCCCCTCGGTCCCAGGTGCAGACTCACAGGTGGTGCTCGAAGCCTCCAAGACCAAACTGGGATCCCAGGGGCCAGCCAGCAGTGCTGCTAAGTGGCGGGCCGCACAGATGGGCTGGACCCCAAAGCCGCGGAGGACAGCACAGTCATTCTGAAGGGCAATACTCACACCGTGCCGCCGCTCTAGGCGGGCACGCAGTTCTGTGGGCAGCATGTGACCCAGAAGCCCCACTGTCTCATCTCGGAGGTGCACCTCCAAGGCAGCCCCCAAGGCCCGGTCCAGCTCATCCATGTCCTGCTCGAAGGCCACATGTACCACCAGCTGGGCCTGGCCCGCGGTGCCCGCCCCCAGGAGTGCTTCCTCTGCCTCCCAAGTGGTTGGCTCCAGCAGGGAGAGGGCCAGCGCTTTCTGCAGCGCAGCAGCCTCCTCCTGCTCCGCCGCCTGGCCCTGTGGCTCCAGTGACCGGTGGAGAGCCAGCTGCAGCGCCGCTTCCTCCTCCAGCTGCCCAGGTGCCCCAGTGCCGGGGGCTGGCAGCTCCTCCTCAAACCTAGGGACAGGCTCCTCCTCCAGCTGCTCCTCGGGCTCCTCCTCCCCGGGCACCAGGGGCAGCCCGTCCTCCCTGTCCAGGCCCTCCAGGGTGGCCAGCCGCTCTCGAACCTCCTCTGGGGACAGAGAGGGTCACTAGGGAAGGGGTCAAGCCCAGCCAGGGTGGGGCTGCAGGACAGGAAGAGCCCGAGAACGGGTGAGATGCGGGTTAGGAGGTCTGGGGTCACGGGACAGGTGCGCGCGAAGAGCAGGGTAGAGGGTGAGAGCAAGAGAGGGCCGCAGCACCAGGTTCCCAGCAGGGGGCGCTCAAGAGGCAATCTGATGTTGCCATCTCTTTCTTCCTCCCTTCCTCTCTTTAAAAATAAATAAATAAAATCTTTTAAAGGGGGGCGGCACAGCATATTCCGGGTGTCCCCAGGGAGCCCTACCCAGGCTCAGATTCTCCTGGTCACTGCCTGTGCTCTCCAGGGGCCACAGAGAGTGGGGCTGGTCAGGGAAGGTCTGGAGGGCCTCGGGAAGGTCGACCTGTGAGGAGAGAATGTTAGGGTCCACTCGGCCCACACCCTCCCCAGGCCTCTGAGCAGCAGCGCAGGAGGTACCAGGCTGAGGTGTGAGAAAGGGGGGGGGGGGACAGGGGCAGGCTCCAACTCCACCTGTGCAGAGTCTGTGTCCAGACGCTCTGTCCCAAAGACACACTGGAACTGGGCCTCCAGCTCCTGGAGGAGGTGCTGCCCCTCTGGGCCCAGCAGGAACTGGGCGCTGCCTGGGTGCTTCAGGCTCAGCACGTGGCAGCTGATGCTGCCCAGCAGACTTTGCAGAAACTCCTGGGCTGCCCGGCATGGGGCCAGGGCTCCACAGAGCTGCAGGAGCAGTTTACAGGGTTAGGGCACAAGAAAGGCACCCAGAGCCCCCAGGCCCTGGGGCCAAAGGTGAGGCGTCCTCGAAGCTTACTCACCCGAAAGCCAGTCATATCTGATCCTTCCAGTGGGAAGAGGGCAACGTCTCCCATGCCAGCAAGGAGGTCCCCGTGATAGAGCTGCAGGAAGCGCATGGCCCCCGGCTCCATCGACAGCACCATCTCCACCAGCCCCGCCTGCTCTGGAGGCCCCATGGCACTGTCCACTGGGCTCACTGGGCCTGGAGACCCTGTGGGCCTCGGGCTCGCCACCCCTGCCTGCCCTGAATACCCCGCGGGCTCCGGGCTTTCCATCTCCTCATCTTCCAAAGTTTCCATGGGCCCCAAGATGACTGGCCTGTCCTGTCCCAGGGACCCTGTGGGGTCCGTCCCCAGAGAGGCTCCTGACTGGCCCACTGCCTCCTCAGAGCCCAGGGTCACTGTCTCTGCGCCCTTCGGTGCCCTCTCTGGCCCTCCAGCCTCCAGGAGAGCACTCTCCGTGGCCCTAGTCCCCAGGTCAGCCGAGTGGTCCCCTCCACTGGGGCCCTCAGCAAGCTCCTCGGGCTCCAGGACGTTGTAGTGGGGGACCAGGCTCAGCTCCCAGCCCTGTAGGCAGTGGTCCTGCTGCAGCACCCGTTCAGCCACTGGGGGGAAGGGAGAGGACAGGAGGCCCGTCAGTGGTCTGAGGGAGGGGGGTGGGCCAAGTCCCTCTAGCCCTACTCACCCTGCCACCGCTGGAAAGTGACCACGGTGCCCAGCTGCCCCGGCAGGCTGCGCAGGTCCTCCAGGGGGCCCCCGCCACTGCGGCGCTCATTCTCCAGGTACAGCTCCAGCAACAGAGAGTCCACAGGCAAGGCGCCCCCCACCACACGCACTGCTCGGGCCTGGGGCACCCACGCCAGGGATACGTCAGCCCCATCCAGGCCCAGGGCCTGGACCTGCTCCTCCAGCACATGGATGTCTGTGGAGAAGGTTCACACTGGATTCAGGCATCTTCCCTAACAGACCCACCTGTTCCTCTCCCCCCTCTCACCTGCCTCAGAGAGGGCCTTGGGCAGCTGGACTAGGGCCCTGTCTGGTCGGGGACTGGCCAGGACACGGCAGGGCTGCTCCGGGTGCCCCATGGCACGCAGCAGGGCCTGGACGTGCTGCTCCAGGTGCTGGGGTGCAGTGCCAGGGGGCAGTCCTTGGAGCAGGAGGCGTGCAGGGGCACGAGGCGGGGCCGGCCGCAGGCTCAGCCGAGCCCCGGGCAGCACGTGCTCCTTCCGGGCCAAGACCCGAGCAGCGTCTGCGGGCAGGGGTGGGGCGGGGTGGGGTGTCAGTGCCGGTGGCCCATGAGGTGCCCAGGCTTCCCTTTCCACCAGCCCCTCACCTGCAGGCTCTTGAAAAGTGAGCACACCCCCACGGCCGAGTCTCTGCCAGCTCAGCACAGGTCCCCCCCCAGAGCGTCGGCGGTTCTCGAAGTAGAGCATGAGCAACTCATCCGGGATATTGGGGGGCAGCCCGCTGAGCTCCACGGCCACCCCCACCTCCTCTGCCTCTGCCATTGCAACCCTAGGGCAAGGACGGGCAGGGGGGTAGGGTAGCCACCCCACAGTCCCGTCCCACCCCTCCCAGCTCCCTCCAACCCTGCTTCTCCTTTCCCCCAAAGCATCCCCTGACACCCCTCTTCATCTTGGGCAGCCTGCTTACACTGCCCCCTGTCTGGGCGTCCCCAGCCCACCACGCCTTTAGCTCGGACTCTGGATCCTGCTCCAGGGGCCAGAAAACAAAAGTGAAACTGTCTGAGGGAAGGAAGAAGGGAGGGGCCTGACGTGCTGGGCGGGGTGGCTGCCCGGGAGGTGCTTCCTTCCTACTGGCAGACCCTCCTGCAGAGCCTTCCACCCCACCCCTTGGCCTGAAGAGACCCCCGCGACCAGGTGTCGGCTGGGCATGACCTGTCAGTCCAGCCCATCAGCCCCATTGTCCCACCCCAGCCCAGTGATCCACAGAGTAGGGGAGGGGGAGTGGCCCACTGGCTGTCCTCTGCTCCCTCTGAGAACCTAAAAATGGCCAATCGCCCTCCCTACTAAATCCACCAGGGGGCACCAGTCACTGCCCCTACTCGGGGACCTCAAGCCTCTGTGTCCCCTTCCCAACAGCAGAAGCATCTTGGGTCTCTGGGCACACCCCTGGCTCAGGCCTGCCTTCAACTCTCCCAGCAACCTCCCCAGACGTGCTCCTCGCCCTTCATAACTAGGAGGGGAGCAGCTCTCACACCCGACCCACAAGTGTGTCCCAGCACAGCCTTCCTCTGCCGCCTCGACCCACTTCCCCAGGTCTCTCTGCCTGGTCCATGCACTCGCCCAGTCTTCCCATCTCACGTCATCAACGTCATCGTCGTCCCTGTCACTGTGGAACCCCAGAAGGTGCAGACACTGTGCCTTGATGCTGCAAATCCTCGTCATAGCAGGGGCGATGGAGGCACAGACAGGGCCCGCAGCAGTGCTCACAGCCAGGCTGCACCTTTAGAAGCCGACTCCCTCTTGGCCCATGCTCCATTTGCTTCCAGCCTCTCAGGGAGGTGTGCCCACGACTCTGCTCTACCTCCCACCTCCCATTTACCCACTAGCCTCCACCCCCGATACTCCAACAGGGAACTGGGGACCTGTCCAGCCTGCACTCCCAGCTGTGCACCTGGCTCCTTGGCTGTCTGCACCCCTGTCCCACCTCCGTCATCTCTCACCTGGATCACTAACCTAACCTTCTAACTCATCTTCCTCTGCCACGCCCACCCACCTCCACCGTCTCTCCTCAACAGAGCAGGCAGAGTGAGCCTTGTAAAGGGGCTCCAAGCTGCTACGGCTTGGGCCATGGTGAAAGCCAGAATCACTCACGAGAAAAGCCGAAGTCCTTTGGAGGGCCTGCCAGGCCCAGCCTGAGGAGCCCCAGTGCCCTCCGTGGCTCCATCCCCCTGGGCTCGCCATGCCCAGCCAGGTCCAGCCTCTTCTGCCCATGCAGCTAACTGCCCCACCTCAACACTCTTGCACCGGCCTTCCCCACAGAGCGACCTGGCCATGCTGCCTCTTACCCACTTAGTTGCAGATGTAACCTGAAGCTAACAGTCTTTAAGGACTTTATACAGGCCATTTCAAAGGCCCTGACCTCAACTCCATACTTGTCATTTTTTATCGTTTCCTCAAATTGTATGAACTTTCAGTTCCACAAAGCACCAATGTGTCCCTGCCTGCCCCACATTTTCTCTCCTCAGAGAACTCGCCACCTCCTGAGATGCTGTGTAATTTCTCTATTATGCTGCTCCCCGCTGCAGAGGGCCAGCCAGGCAGCGGCGCCCTGGGGCAGCTCATGTCACGGTCAGACTGCTGAACTGTCATGAACCAGTCGATAGACTGGTGGCAGCTTACACTCTGTCCTGCTGAAGGTGCCAGTCAGGGCTTCCCCTCACCAGACGTTACCCAACGTTGCACCAGCACACCGCCGACATAGGATAGAGCCTTTTCCAAACCACTGCAGGGTCTGGGGGAGGACAACCATGCCAGAGCCAGGAGCGCAGCAAGGTCCCCAGGCCTCAGGTGGAGAGGCGCTGCGGCAGGGAGTGTCCCTAGCTGCAGCAGTCAGCACCTGCTCAGGAGGACCCCTGGAGCTGAGGGGAGACGTGAAGCCCCCAGTCCTGGGACATCTCTAAACCTCAGCCCCTTAGCAGTGAAACAGGACTAATGGTCGAAGCCTTGCGGTAGTGAAGGTGTGGTGAAGACAGTGAGGATGAAAGGTCTCTGTGGGTCCTGGAATAGTGTGCTTTTGGTGACAGGTACAGATGCTGGAGCTACTGAATGATCAGGCCTCCTGATCGGGGATAGCCTCGGATGGAAAGGGAAAGCGGTGTTTTTAACCCAGGAAAGGATGAAGAGTGCTTGGCATCCTCCGTAATCCCAGGTTTAGGAATAAATTTCTCAGCTCTCTGAGCCAAATTGGCCTGGCAGACCTCTGCCTCCCGGCGTCTTCAGGCCCCACGGCCCAAGCCCACTTGTCGGTGGACATTGTGGAACGCGGAGGCTGGGCTTGGAACTCCAAAAGGAGCCAGTACGGTGGTCGCAGCATGTAGAGTCCTCCGAGGAGAAGCCCCACAGTAGCAGCGGCGGCCCCGCCCCGCGCCCTCTTGGCCCCGCCCACGCCGTCCGGCCCCGCCCCGCGCCCGCCCGGCTCCGTCACAAGGCCCCGCTGCGTCTTCCCAGCCGCAGGCGCAGGCCCAGCCAAGCCGGCTGCGGAGCGGTTGCGGGTTTGGGTGCGGGCGCAGCGGCCATCGACCGCGCGGCCGCACAGCAGACACCGTGCGCACCGTCCTGAGAAGCCCCGCGAGTGGTGAGTCCCCGGACCAAGCTACGAGTCTACCTGCTGAACCTCAGTGTCGGCCGCCTCCGCCCCCGCGCGGACCCTGCGTAGCCCAGCGGCGCCACTGTGGGTCAGTCGGTCGGTCTGGCCTAGGCTCTCGGCCCGCTTGGGGCTGGGGCGGTGGCCAGGGGTCGAGGACCCGCGGCCTAAAGCGGGAGGAAAGTGGCGCTGCGCTGCGGTGGCGGCGACACTCGCGGCCCGAGCGCCCGGCGACCGGGCGGAAGGGCCCACCCTGCCCTCGAAGCAGGTTCGGTGGCCGCCGCCCCCGGCCGCTTCGCCCCCACGCCTGCTTTGTTTCTCCGCACGCCCTCTGGTCCCTTCCATCCCCCACACACCCCCGCACCCCGCTGTTCCTGGCGTACCCCACTGGCAGGCACCCGGGCAGCAGATCCAGGCTCGCTGCCCCCACCCCGGGGAGCGAGGGACGGCCGGGCCCTGCTCTCCGAGAGGAGTCAGGGCTCTCTCCGCTCACAGATGGCCTGCGGATTTCCTAGGATAGAAATAGCCGCCGGCTCTGGCCCCTCAAAGCGGCTTAAGGGGCGGGATGCTAAGGGGAGGGTCCGGGCACACCCCACACCTCCCGACCGCGCCCCCAGTTCCGACCTGGCGGCCCCGACCGGAAGACCCCAGAAGACCCCCCGGAAGATCGGTGAGAAGGCCCTTCCACTTGCTTCTAAGAAGCAACCAGAGCCCCAAATCCCAAGACTGACAGCCATCTCCTCCTCCGCCCCTCCTCCACCTTCGGGATTGGCCCAGAGCAGCCTCTAGCCAGAAGCCCCAGGCCCAGCCACCCACTTTATACCACCCCGCCCCGCTCTCCTAGCCCCTCTGTTCCGGGCTCCCGACTGACCAGAGAAAAAGGTCATGAACTTCCCTTCCTGCGACCGATTGCAGTTTCCTGCAGCAGGTGGGGCAGCCCCAGGCTGATGCTGAGGACTAGTCCCCCCAGGGCTAACTGTTCTCTCTCTTTCCTCTAGGGGGAGACCACAGAACCTGAGGCCATGCCTCACGAGAAGAGTTTCTTGGTGTCTGGGGACAACTATCCTCCCCCCAACCCTGGATATCCTGGGGGGCCCCAGCCCTCCATGCCTCCCTATCCTGGAACCTCTTACCCACAACCCCCGTTCCAGCCTTCCCCCTATGGCCAGCCAGGGTATCCCCAGGGCCCAAGTCCCTACCCCCAAGGAGGCTACCCTCAGGGTCCCTACCCCCAAGGGGGCTACCCTCAGGGTCCCTACCCCCAAGGGGGCTACCCCCAGGGCCCCTACCCCCAAGGGGGCTACCCCCAGGGGCCATATCCACAGAGCCCCTTTCCACCTAACCCCTATGGACAACCACAGGCCTTCCCAGCCCAGGACCCTGGCTGTGAGTGATGGGCAGGGGCTCGGGGCGGGCAGGGGCTCCAGGCATCCACAGGTAGTGCTGACCCAGCCCACCCTGCTCCTCAGCACCTCAGCATGGGAACTACCATGAGGAGGGACCCCCATCCTACTATGACAACCAGGACTTCCCTGCCACCAACTGGGATGACAAAAGCATCCGCCAGGCCTTCATCCGGAAGGTGGGGCTGGGGCTAGGGTAGGGTGGGGCAGAAGCAGTGGCACTGGACGGGCTCTGAGTGGCCCCTTCCTCAGGTGTTCCTGGTGCTGACCCTGCAGCTGTCTGTGACTCTGTCCACTGTGGCTGTGTTCACATTCGTCACGGAGGTGAAGGGCTTCGTCCGGGAGAACGTCTGGACGTACTACGTTTCCTACGCTGTCTTCTTCATCTCCCTCATCGTCCTCAGCTGCTGTGGGGACTTCCGGCGAAAGCACCCCTGGAACCTCGTTGCGCTGGTAACCCTGAAACCTGAGCCCCTGGCCCCCACAGCTCAGCCTTCCCACCCACACTCACAGTTTGCACTGACAGGGGGGTGGGGCTGAAGCAGCCTCCATACCCAAGGCCGTGTCTCCCCACAGTCAATCCTGACCGTCAGCCTATCCTACATGGTGGGCATGATCGCCAGCTTCTACGACACCGAGGCGGTCATCATGGCTGTGGGCATCACCACGACCGTCTGCTTCACAGTGGTCATCTTCTCTATGCAGGTGAGGGGTCCTGGTAGTCGCCTTCCCACGGGTGGGGGCCCCCAGGTGGGGCTAATGGCTTGGAGCCTTGCTGGGCGGGCACCCAGGGCCTGCTGTCCCCTGTGCCCACAGACCCGCTACGACTTCACGTCATGCATGGGCGTGCTCCTGGTGAGCATGGTGGTGCTGATCGTCTTCGCCGTCCTCTGCATCTTCATCCGCAACCGCATCCTGGAGATCGTATATGCCTCACTTGGCGCGCTTCTCTTCACCTGCGTGAGTGAGGGGCCACCTGGGGCAGGGGCGGGCACAGGGGCGGGGGAGCAGGCCCCTGAAC